CTTCACTAAAAAAAACAAATACCTTCTCTTCTTCTGGGCATCATGGCCATTTACTCTATGCTGATCATCTGGTGCTCAACTGACCAGATTTTCACGCTAATTCAACCCTCCCCCTCTAAAATAAGGAAGTAGTTCTTTCCAGAAAGTCTTTATAAAACAATGATCAGATGTCATTAAAATAGTTTTGAAAAGCTTGCATTTTTGTTTAAATCACAATGGCTATATTTTTTTTATGGCCACTTGGGTAGTGGTTTAATTTTCCTTAGTTCTGAAACCAATGCAAAGATTTATTTAAACAGAGTAAAATCTCGGCTTCCTTCCTTAGAAGCTTTGGAAAGCAACTTTAATTAGGAGTTGCCGCTTCCATCGAGCTTTACACGTTACATCAAGCTTTTAGTGTTTTTAACTTAGATTTCCCTCCTGATTGAAAATTTATGTTTCTTCATCACAGGCATTCAGGTGTGAGTTGTAAATGCACCAAAAAAAGAAAAAGGAAAAAGAAAAGCTTTAGCCAGGAAATAAGACCTAAAAAGGACCACCTTAATCAGAATCGTTCTTTTCCAGTGTTCTGAAATTGAGCTGAACAGGTGATTTTTTTTTTTTTTCTCAACACCACAAAAAAGCAGTTGGGGTTGTGTGGCCAGTGGCAAGGAAGAGAGGTTCCTCTGTGAGTCACAGAAATCTCCATGCAAACAAAACTAGCTTGTTTGCAAAACCTCTCTTCTGGCCTCCCTCTACTTCACAGCTCACTAAGAAGCTGGGGGAAAGCCAGTCACCCTTGAATGTAAATAAAAATGAGTGCTGGGTTAGGGAGGGTTCCTTTTATCTCTGCTGGATTTGTGCATAGAGTATTTCATCCTTTAAGGTGTGTAGCAGAATTCACTCACAGGAATAAGGAAATCACTAAAGCTGGTACCCTTCAACATAAAAAAAAAAAGAGAGTGGCTCATGGATTGAATATTAAACCAAGGAAAGGACTACTTTGATCACTGAGTTTGATCTCGTAACTTGAACTTCAAACATTATCAGATAGTTCAGGAGCTTAGCCATAAAAGTAAGGTTTCAGCCATTAAAAAAATAAAACAGTAGTTCTTACTGTGATCTGTATTTTCCTGAATTTCAAAAGGATTTACATCTGGGGCTTGTTTTGAATGTATCTCTATTTAAAAGAGGTACCTTGAAAGTCATTTGTTCCTTCCTCTAGTCTATAGACAATGTTGTTTTTAATAAACAGGAAAAATGTTTCTTTTTCTTTTTGAAAAATCACTGTGGTAGTGAATCTATAATATCTTACTTATGAAGTTAGTCCTCATAATGCTTTTTGGGTACTCCAGGTTGAGGCTCTGCTTTCTTTACACCCTGTTATTTCTTTAGACTGTGTTATTTCTTTCTTTCTAAATTTTAGCACTTGACATAACAAATATAAAAGTTGCATTTTATTTGACCTTTACCTCCTCCTTTCCCACATCCCTACTTCTCTGCTTGGAAAATATTTTCTTCACTTGACAAGCCAAGTTCAATTCCTCCAGCTTCAAGAGGAACCAAACCACATCTGTCTACTGAGGCAAAAAATGTATTTAACAGAGCACAGCTGGAACCCAGATAACTAAAATCAGTCACCCAGACAATTGCTCCGCTTGATCAATGATCCTCCACTATGGTGGCCTCTCTTGTTTGCATCCCTGAAGACAGTACAATTACATTCTTGAAACAGTTCAGGATTTTAACCCACATTTATTTATTTTTAAACTAAATTTCTCGCTAAATGTGCCCTAACCACTACCTAGATACCCCTTTCAAAGTTTTTTCACCACTAATTTTCCTTTTATTTTGGAACTAATTTCATCCTCTTTTCTAAACCACTGAATATGGCAAGGCATTGGTTGCAGTGATGCAACCACAGTGCTGTATCAGAAAGAAAAATCATTCTTCACATTATGTTCAGCTATAACAGATACAATCACAATACAGTCCTAATTTGTGCATACCTAGTCTTCCTGCAACCTTCTAGCTGATTGGCTTTCCACTAGCCATGACTCTTCAGGGCAGGTAGGGTAAGATGTGGGTGTATGGATGGATGGGCCTTATTTTGTAGACTTTTTACAGCTACTAGCACTTTACCTCTCAAAGCCTCCATTTATAAAATCTTCCTGTAAAAACAAACCTGATTAATGCATGTTGAAATTGGATGGTGTAAAACCCAGTCACCCCTTTTGTCTGTCAATCCTACAGGTGTACAGATGTCTGTTCCATGGACAGTTCCATGCCCTACAAAGCACGGGGTTCTCAATATAAATTTTTTTGTTAACTTAACCTCCATGGGGTTCAGCCTTTGTACAATAGCCCAGTTTTGGTGCAAAATTGACTTGGCTTTGTTTTTCATCCCATATATCCTGACTTTTTTTGGCTGTTTACAAATTAGAGAAAGAGCAGTTGCCCTCAGTAGAAGTAAATATAGTCAGTAAGATAGAACAGAAGAGGTAGAATATACTTGCAGAGCAGAAGCTTATCTAAAAGTCCTAATTTACTTTTTAAATTATTTAAAGTACTTTTAGGAGATTTAATTAAGAACAGAGATGGGCAAAGAGGATGCATATTGCTATCTTTGCCTTATTCATTTCTGAAGAATTTAGCCAAGTTGAATAAACTGTAGGACAACTCAATACTCTGATTTAGGTTACTAACTTGGTATGTGCTTCATTGAAACTGAAAGTGCCTGGCTCAGGAAAGTGAGCTAATCTGCTTACAGTACAATATACAATTACTGAAGAGATGGATTTGCCAGTAAAGATCTGTAGAGAAAGTTGATGGCATAATGTGGCTTTGGCATCTTCCTCTGTGGTGAGGAGGGTACCTGTGGGAGTTTTGAATGCTTTCTTAAATAGCATAAAGCCACTGGAAATGTTGGGTTAGGACCTTCTGTTCATGCAGGGCATCTTCTAAGGACAGACACATAACAAGCTAAAAGCAGTCATAGAGGTACATGATGCGTGCGTTAAAGGCACACGTGGAACGTTTAGGAAAACAAAAAGAGGAAGCTTCTAGTTTGGGCATGCAGTTGCATGGAAGAAACTCATTTTGGTCTAAGTCCTCCTCTGTCTGTGCATATTTTATTAGAGCACTAGTGGGTAAGAACAATAATCTGGCTACAGGATGTGGAAGCCTTCTGTGTCCTCACCAGTATGCCCAAAAATAGGCAGCCCTCTGTCTTTTCCCTCACTTAACTCATGACTCATCTGGGTGCCTCCAGAAGAAGGCAGATAATCTGTGCAGAACAACTCTCTGACAGTTCCTGCAGTTTGGATAGAGCAGAGGACCCAGATCTCTGTGTTTCAGTCCAGGCTGAGGGCATCTGGTGCCAAGGTGCCTGAAGTGCAGCAGAACTACAGGTGCTACATATATTGTTCTCTCATTTCTTTCTTTGTGCCAACTTTTTTTTTTTCCCAAAATAGCAAATCCTCTCCTCCTTTATCATCTTTAAGGCTCCCTTTGACACTTCAAGAGGACAGTTGTTTACAGTCATACAGTGAGTCCATATTAGAGCTTGGAATGGTAATTTTGACATCCTACCACCTAGGCTACAGTCAGAACCTACTAGGTCATGCTATTTCTTGATACAACTAGTACTGTTTTATTACATATCTTTTCAGTCACAAAGCTGTATAAAATGTTGAACACTGATTCTTTTGCTGAGAAAGTAAATTTTTTGATACATTTTTCTGGGAAAAACCCTTTTTTGTGTGGCTGCACTTGATAATAGTAGCCCAGGCTTTTCAGAGAAACATTTACAATAATCAAAAACTCTACTTAAATTAGAGGATTTTATTTAGTAGGAAGTTGTGTCTTTACTTAAATAAATGCTTTTAATCAAAGATACAACATTCCTCAGAAACTTGTTCCACATTAGAGAGAAATTATTTGAGTATTAGCCTTGAAACTGATTTACACAATTAAAAATTGTACAAAAAATGTTTCCTTTGGATCTGAATACGAAATATGAATGTGCAGTGAGAAGTATGTGGCGTTACTCAGTTTCCATGGTGTTGAACCCTGAAATGTTGAGGTAACAGGGAATTGTTTATCAAGCTTCCAAATTCCCTTCACTGCTAAAGCTTCCTCAGAATAAGACTGTGGTTTCCAATTGTTAAATTAGATTATATATTTTCTTTTACCTGTGATAGTGCAACTATGTTAAAGATGTGCTTTTGAAAAAAGGGGATAATTTGCTGTATACCATTATTTGTGAAATAGTGAGCACTGTCTGATCATTATTTTTATTTTCATAATAAAACTTGCTAAGACTTCACTTGCCATGAAACTGTTTTGTACAATGTAACTAAAAAGCTTAATATTTTGGCAACATGGGAGAGAAGAGATAACTCGAGTGTACATTCATAAATGTAACAAATACACATTATAAGACATATATATCCCTCATCAAGCCAAGGTCGTTTTTATGAGAATGACTTTCCTTGGGCTCCAGGAAAGCCATCATATAGTTACTGCCATTTTAAGAAACAATTTAGAAAAGGGCAATTTAGCCAGCTCAGTAGGTGATATCCACAAAGAAAAGCACTGTTTGTAAGAGCTACTTATTTGGATATGAGAGGTACCTCATGTCACCTTCGCTCCTCATTCCGTTCCATGTTTGAACATTTGAATCAAAAAGGGTGGAAGTTCAGAGCAAAGGCATGTAAATTCAAATGGGAGTATTTATACAGTAACTGCCTTTAAGATAAAATATTTTTTTATAAGTATTGTGTCTTCAGAAAATCGGACTGTATATCTGACTTTTATATTAGCTGTCTATACAAAAAGAATCTGGAAGAAAGAACAAAACCATGAAATCACTACTGGTAAGTCCTTTTTTTTTAACACACTCTTTCAGTGCTAGGCAGTGAAGATAAACTATGTCTCTGATACTGTTTTTATTACAGGTTTGGATTACAGATTTATTTTCAATGACCTATCAAAATTAACAGGCTCTTTACTGTTCACAGTTTATCAGGATGCCCCAGAGCTACTTCAGCAATGAAGAAAGCAAAGCTGTCTGGAGAACAAATGCTAACAATAAAGCAGCGGGCTAGTAATGGTAAATTTTTAATCATTACTTTCTTAAATACTAATTCTCTGTAAACTGGAGTTATTGTTACTCTGTTGGCTTTTTTTTCTACATGTATAAATCCGCTTTGTATAAATTGTGAATTCACTGTCAGTAGAAGTGAAACAAGGTTTTATGCTGTGGAAACCTGAGCCAGGAGTGGAGCAGACAGACTGGCCTGAGTTATGTCTACATAAATCTGAAACTCTAAAATATTTCAAAGTAGAATGTACCATTATAATATTCTGGTTCACATGTCATTCATCAAAGGTGGATAGTTGGTCTTATATTGTTGCAGGATTCAGAGGTGAAAAATGGTGTATTTCCAGAGTGTCAATTCCTCATAAGCTCCATTGTATTCATTTGGAGCTGTGGTTCTATAACTTCTGGGAGATGGAGATGGCCTTGTGCCATTTCAGCTCCAGTAATTTTCAGAGGGAAGTGACATCCTGTTAGGGATATTCAAATTTTGGAGCTGACAAATAGACAATGATGTCCTCAGAATCGGAGTTGAAGAAAATTGTGGATGCCCCCTCCCTGGAAGTGTTCCAGGCCAGGTTGGATGGGGCTCTGAGCAACCTGGTCTAGTGAAAGGTGTCCTTGCCCACATCACAGAGGTTGGAACTAGATAATCTTTAAGGTCCTTTCCAACCTAGGCCATTGTGTGATTCTCTGGTATTCTTCCTACAGAGTTAGGCACTGTGGAGAAAGGCGTGCAAGTACTGTAAGAACAAGAGAGTGAGAACACCAGTTTCTCTAGCTTTATGTGTTTAGACTTTGACTTCAGAAAAAATGGATTTATATCTTCTCAGGACTATTTTATACTTTTTTATAGAACTTAAAAGGATAAATACATTAAACCCTTACAGTTTATTCCTGTTTGAATTCTTAGAAATACAGATGCCTTTAAAATTCTGTTATTTAATGTTTATGCCACAGAACCTGAGAAATCACTTCTATTTCTCAAATTATTCTATATATAATTATTTAATAACACCCTTCAGAAACACGAACCATTTTGAGCCTCCATCAACCATTAAAAACAACTGCAGAATAACACAGTATGTCCCAGGTCATCAACAAAGTTTGACTTCTGAATTAGGTACAGATTTTTTTGACAATGCTGTAATATGAAGAGATTTTTGATTTTTTATTTTCTCAAAGAAGATATGTAAGTGGACACTATCGTTAAATAAGTTACATATGGAAGTGGAGTGTAATTTGTTGCTGCAGTTGCATTTCTTATAATATAAAGTTAAATCAATGCATATAAAGTTAAAGGTCTTATTGATTCTCTAGGCATTTTCAACACATTCACTAGAGAATAACTGCAACTTTATAAGGAAAAGTTGTGGAAAATACTTTTTTTTTAACTTCAGAATAAAAGTTTGAAGAATGCTTCCTTTTTCTTCTTTGCTTGAAATAAATATATTTGCAAATATGGAAGTAATTAATTTCACTGAAGTCTGCTTTAAACCTTAATTATTTTAACACCCCTTTTATGTTTATGTCACACAGGTATAGAAAATGATGAAGAAATTAAACAATTAGATGAAGAAATCAAAGAACTAAATGAATCCAACTCCCAGATGGAAGCTGATATGATTAAACTCAGAACTCAGGTAACAGTTTTATGAAGCCCTAAATTCAGCTGCTTTTTCTACATGACTAATTAAAAGAAATACAGGAAATATATTGTTCCCTTTTATGTTTCTTATATATTAAGATACCTATCTCTGATTTGCTATTTATAAAATCAGAAAAAAATGTTCATTTTTCAAGTTCCACATCAGTTACCAACAGTAAAAAAAAAAAAAAAAAAAAGGACTTGGCAAAATACATTCTTTAAATAATGGCAACACCATGACCTGTCATGGTCAGCTTTGTATTTCCCCTTGATAAGGTGAGGAAATTAGCTTTGATTTCCCCTTTCTAATAGTAGTTAAAATACTGTGTGACATCATGGTCATTAACGTAAGTTATAAGGTGAAGGAGTCCAGATGAATACCATGGCTTTTGCCAGGTCTTACAGGGGCAATTTAGATAGGGAAGTGAATACCTATTACACTTCATTATGTGATACACAAAGTGCAGCCCTTGGCAGCAGTAGTGGTTCCAGAGATCCAGCTTAGTTCATTTTATGTTCTACATAAATTTGTTGGGGCGGGGGGGATGGTGGGGGAAAAAGGAAAATTTAACATTAGCCTGTTATTTAAAATCCCTGTATTCAGCAGTCCTAAAATTGAATGGAAAAAGGAAAGGAAGGAAATTAATTGAATTATTTCCCCAGCATTTTCCAGTGTCGAGCCTACCTTCTGGTGCTTTTATCCTCACATGATTTAAGCACAGACACTAACAGTGAAATTCATCGTAGTCTTTATCAATCTTTAGTCCCATGACCATAGTCTTCTGTAGCTGGTCTTGGTGGAAACAGAGTAAACCATTCCTTGTTACTTGTCTACTGCTTATGGAGAATGCCATGTCCATTCTCCTCCTCCTTCTCCTCTTGTATACTCAGAAGGCAGAATCTACCTTTCCAGCTTGGTTTTTCTTTGACTTCTAAACTTTACCCAAATTGATACTGAAACTTCACTTCTACTTTATGCCTGTATTCAGGGTTCTGTTGTCTTTATGCAGCCTTTATAGGATTTGACTTACAGTTTTATGACTTTTTCTGATGTGACCAAATACAACCATAGGGTAATGAAGACAAAATCTGCAGGAATGTAAAGCAAGAAGAATAATCAATGGCAGAAAAATTACTCTGGAGAAATTTGGTCATAAGTTTTAAACCTGGCAACCTTCAATTGCCTTATGTTTTCATTTGCTAATACACTGTAGATGCTATTCACATACAGACTGATGTAGCTTTTAGCTCAAGCAGGGCACCATGCAAAGTCAGAGCTAATGTCTCTGGTCACCTGGGAACACAGCAGACCATGCTCTCAGTTGTCTTCACCTGTACATGTAGTCATGCCACAGGGCTATATGCAAATATTCTTCAGTTCCTTCAGTTTTACAAGTCATTGTATGTACTGAAAACCTTTTTGAATTTGTACATACATTGCAATAATATGCAGCTGTTCAGCTTTCAAAAGTAGCTCTTTGAATTTGCATAGAATCAAATTATACTTAAAAAGAGCAAGGACCTGTGCATGCCTAATTTTATATATATATATATATATATATGAAAATATAAGAAAAGCATGACTTATTGCAGAATGTCCCTAGAATTGGCTCCTAGAAGTTTAATTACATGGGTGAACTTGCAGAACTAAGGTCCTTCTTAAGGCCTTTCAACTGTACAAGAAAAGCTCTAAAGGAGTGGATTCAAATCCCAGTTCATTCGCTCACTATTACCAGCATTAAAAGACAAGCTGTTAAAGTTATGCAACAGACAGTTGGAACAACGAGCCTTAACGACGATAAGAATTGCAGACTCAAGCAGAGCCTTTCTAAGCATGAATGAATAGACCTTTTCTCCTTCCCTGGTATTTCTGTTATCTCTCCCTTCAGAGTGCATGCTTTATCCTGGCTTGCCTTATATTACATTGTACACAAATTTGTCCATTTTAGATTACCACAATGGAGAGCAACCTGAAGACAATAGAAGAGGAGAACAAAGTAATTGAACAACAAAATGAGTCTCTTCTTCATGAATTGGCCAATTTAAGCCAATCTTTAATTCATAGTCTAGCTAATATCCAGCTGCCACATATGGTAAGTGATTGAGAGCACAAGTTAAGGAATTTGGCGATCTTCAGTTCACTTCATACAATAGATACCTTTTTTTATGTTTATGTTTCATCAACCAGTTGGATATTTGTGGTAACAGCACTGAAACCATAGAGATACATTTAACTGCTAAGAGACATGGAGGGCCTGTTCCAGTGTATCCTGTAAAATTAAGTAAGAACTAAATAGGCATTTTAAATATTATAAAAAATGGTGGCAATATGCCTTGCTAATATGTTATGCTTAAATGAATATACGATTAAGAAAATAAAAGTTGTATATGAACTACTATTTAATATCTCGTAGGAACCAATCAATGAACAAAATTTTGATGCTTACGTGACCACTTTGACGGACATGTATACAAATCAAGATCGTTATCAGAGTCCAGAAAATAAAGCCCTACTGGAAAATATAAAGCAGGCTGTGAGAGGAATTCAGGTCTGAACAGCTGCTATAGTGATGAAAATCTTGCTTAAAAAAAGGATGCCTCTTGTTTTTTGCTGCTGTAATTTACCAGAAAGTGTTATATATTTATTTCTGTTTGAAACAGTGTTATGCTTACAAGACTTCATAATGATTTTATGTCTTGCTTTAAAGATAGTAACTGCAGAATAGTTTTTTGAATACATTCACATTTTGTACGTTTTCATATAAGCTGACATAGTGTGATATGCCATGTAATGTTTATAGCTGCTAATGTATGCACATTTTTGGGGTATATATATTTCTGAAGAGGTAAGCTGATCAAAATAAATAGAGTGTAAATTCTTTTTAATGCTTTAGTGATTAAATGTTTTAGTATTTTGAACTGAAATGGACAAAAAAAAAAAACAGCTTTGAATGACAATGTTGCGGTCTGCGGCCACTTTTTAAACACTATCATTTTGCCTCATGTTCGAGGATTTTATGGGATTTAAGAAATACATTTTGTGTGCATATTGTTTCATAGCAAGAATTGGTTGCAAAAATGCTTTATTTTTGAACAATGCTTGAAAATATTATGTGACTTTTGTTTTTGAAGGATGGTGTGTGGTGGGGGCAATAAAATGAGGTTTTTTGAATTCCAAGAAAATGGCATGGATTAGATGTAAGATACAAAATGGGTAATTTATTGTAAGACAACATCAAGCCATGGAAACTTGACAGAAGATTCAAAGCAGC